TAACATGGGACAGAAAGCTAAACCCGTTCAAGGTGGGGTTCAGGAGGTCTCTGAAGACATCTGTCATCATAGGCCACACATCACTGGAGGAGGTTGGACTCTATGACCTTGGGGTCTCTGCTAATCCTACACCATACAACCAGAAAGAGAAATGGGGTTTGACACTGTTTTCAGTTGGTTGGAAGGGCTCCCTGATATTTACCTGAACTAACACTCAGGTGCCTGCTTGGCAATGGTTCCTGCTGTACCTGGAAAAACTTCAACCTCACCCAGGGTCATCTAGTTGTCCAGCTCTTTAAAGCAAGATGCCAAACTTCTGATTTTCCATTTTTCACAGGCAGGAACTGGGGACAATATCAAAGCTTTATTCTCTGCTTTTATCGTAACACTATCCTTCATCTTACAAGCCAGTGCTACCCCTTTTATTCAGAGAGATTCTTTATTCAACTAATTACAAATCAGCGTGACTGTAAAACAAGGATTAGGCCCCATTGCTGGAAGATCAAGTTGTGATGCCTGATGATAATTTAATGATATCTTAAGGTCAACCTAAATTCATGCATGCAATCATTAACCCACATGTCATTAAATTTAGGTTTTCAGACGTTCTTGTCTGTGAGGGAGCTACGGATCACAATTGTGAAAAAAGGCAACGGAAGCAAAGATCTGCAACAGCCAAGCAGTGCAGATCTCCAAGGACAGGTCCAGTAATGCAGGTCTCCAAGGACAGGCCCTGACATGTTGGTTGCTCTTTTCCGTGTCACTAATTTATCAGACACTGTGTTTAGGGAACACTGATATACGCAAAGCAAGTATGTTTTACAGAGGAAGGCTGCATAACACATCCAGAGCAACATTAAACAGGCACCTTAACACCTTTTGTATGGTGTGTTGGAAACAGTTGACACTGTCAAGAGTAACTGGGAACAGGGTCCAGAGCACCCAGCTTCCTGCCCCTTCCATAACCTGAATCCCTCTTTGCTTCCTGGTACTTGCCTGTGATCACACCGATGGAGAAAAAAAACGTCATCACTTCAGCACAGAGCCCTTCCCTTTCCCCAACAGCACTGCCAGAGCAGTCGGTTGTTTCACACACACACGCAGCCACAGCATGATTGAGTGTAACCCTGCCATGCCTTGGTGGGCTGTCGCAGCCAGTGCTAGCCCAGGGGGACAGCAGTGGGTGCTGCTCCTGAAACAGCAACCTATGGCAGCCCTTACTATTCCTCACTTTTTAGACAGAACAAGCCCAGCACCTGGCCTCTCCCCCTAACAATGATCCTAAAGCCAAGGAATTATGCTACCAGCAACATAGCAAGCTCAGTGCAGGATACACAGATTTGGCAGTAACACTCACCTCCAGCAGCCCCTGGCATCAACTGGAACAAAGAAACAGCCACAGCATCCCAGGGAGACACCCCAGCCGTGCGTAGTATTTATCTCATCTTCATCAAACTGCACCTTGTGCTGTTCCGCTAATGCAGGAATTCAGCTCCTTGACGGTAGCTGGGTGTCCCTTTTCAGCTCTTTCAGCTGTATGCGGTGTGGCAGGATGCAATGGGAGGAGCAAGGAGGATTGCCATGGTTCACGTGGACCTGCTTTGCTCACAGGCAAGAGCAGCCTCAGGCTTCTTGTCGCAGGACCTTTCACCAGCACCAGAGACACAAAATGCCTGAATCCACCTTAAAAGGTAATGCTATACACACATGAGCTACCAGTTACCTTCCTGCCCTATGCAAGAAGAGATTTTAAACCCCAGCACTGTCAAGAAGCTCAGGCTGGCATCCCTGCATGGCTGACGGTATTCACCCAGAGAAGGTAGATGAATGAAATTCAGAGCAAGCCTGACATGCCAAGAGTCCTATTCCTCCTGCATCAGCAATTAGGCTCTCAAGGGAACACTTGTAAGAACACCAGTTTTTCCTAGACCTCCCTTTCCCCTCCAACCACCTATTTTCTCTTGGTTTTGATGTTGTGCAGAGGGCTTGCTGGATTACCACCCCCACCAAACTGGCACCAGATATTCAGAGAGCACTTTCGCCTCCATGCCAGCCTGTACTATCAGGTACAAGCCATCTCTTCTAGAGGCATAAGACAGGGAGAGCTTTCCAAGGCAGTCAAATATGGGGTGTGCCAGGATGGGGAGTTGACAGCATTTCTTCCTGAAGGCCTCAATTTTGTAATTAGGTTGACGTGAATAGAAAGGTCCTCCTCCATGGCAAACCTGCACCAGCTCTCCCTTACAGTCACGCTCAGGGAGACTGATGCTTCCTGATCAGAGTTACCCTGCACCAGTGAGTAATTTTCTCCCCTGCCCCAGACCAGTCTGCACTGGAACTACTGACTAATATTTCTGAACTGCTTAGCAATTAAGAATCCTCGGTGCACAACCCAAGACACTTTGCACAGAGTTCTATAAACCTACACAAACTAATCAGCAACTATCATCTTCTTGAAGACTTGGGGTTTTTTTCATGATTTGTCCTAGTGTTTTTTTTTTTTTCTCCTCGTTGTAACAAAGATGCTGAGAACAACCTGCATTAGTTGACTGCAGCAGCAGCACTGTGGATTAGCATGGTATCAAAATACAAAACAAACACTGGCCACACAGGACATCTCTGAGTATTTTTATTTAACAAAAATAGCTATTCAATTAGAAACCAGCAATGTCAATACATTGACTGAATCTCATAAGCATCAGTAACCCTGCCTACAGTTCCAGTCAGGCTCTATAGTCACCTCATCACCACAGTGTAGGAACCTGAACAGCATCCAGGTGTGCCTTCCATACATTAACAGGCCTGAAGATGTACGCAGGGTAGCATGCCTCTCTTGCAGTTGCCACAATTTCATTACTTTGGTAGAAAAAGCATTGTTATTGCTGTAATTCATTAGTTAATTTTTGACTTGCTTTTAAATAACTGGGTTGTTCCCCATCAAAGATTTGTTCTCTGTATGAAAAACGTGATTAAAATAGAGCTGCTTCTTTCAGTGACTTGATACGAGTGCTGTACACCCACTCCTTGTGCCTTGCTGCAAATGGCAGCAGGCCAAGGAACCCAAAGGACAGGATATGCGCTTACTCTTCCCTTCCCAGGACAGCTCATGAGCTAGCATTTCATGGTTTTATATTTTATTTATTTTAAAAAACAAAAAAAGTAAAGAAAGGAATATATACATGGGTGGTTTCAAGTTTCCATTTCAGGATAAGGCAGTTAAGTTTACATGTGTAAATGCCAGTACAGCTGAGCCCCTACATTTAGGGGGATGTTCTAGGAGGCAGGCTGCAAACACAGAGCAGCTTTGGGGAGCAGGTTCCCCTGAGCAGCCAGCCTTGAATGGCTCCCCAGGCAGCACATCCCAAACACATTAATCATTCACCTTGTGTGGTAAAGGCTGAGGCTTACAGAAGTGATGAGAAAGGCTGTGCCTGTCCCAGCCAGGGGAGAAAAGCCTTCCCAACCCCAATACCATGATGTCTCCATGGCACTAAAAGCAAGCAATGAACCAAAGCTGCTTCTTCAGGCTCTGACTGGAAGAGGGTCTAACCAGCACAGAGAGAGAAGGTGTGGAGGGAAGCATGCTGCCTCGCACCTTCTCCCTTGCTAGTTCTCTATATGCTTACTCACCACGACCTGCACAGCAACAGGGACAGCCTATAACCCATGTGCACAGTACACTGCAGAGATCTGTTCCTGTGCCGGTCATGGTGCCTGAGTATCCAGGTACCCAAGCCCAGGACAACTCTGTGCAACTCCTTCCCAGTGCTGAAGCAATTTGGAAAGAATACATTCTTTTTAAAAACCAGGTATGAGGCAAGTCCCAAATTGCTTAGACTGGACAAAATAAAAGAACTGTCTGCTCCCAACATTCGTCGTCCTTGCTTAGGTGGAAAAGAAAAAGAGAGGTAGAGAGTGGGCAGAGACTGACCAGAAGCACAAAGGCATTTTAAAAAAGGAAGAACTGACAGACAAGAAATCAGCATTTTTCAAAGCCTCAGCATTCATCCTGATAACTACCTTAAGTGAAGGTGTCCATTTAGTCACTGCAGTCATGAGTCTCCAAGACTACAAAGGAGAGCTTAAAATCCTGCAAGTGACCTTCTTTTTCAGTGCGATACGAACACTTACCATCCCACTGAAATAGCCCAGCCCCCAGGGTTGCGAGGCAGTGACTCCTGTAATGCAGGAATCTGCAGTCCTAAAGGGCAAAGGCAAGGATGTCCAAGGGTCCCTCAGATTAGCATTTTTTCCTACTTAAACTCCCTCTAAGCTTCCCTTCCAGCTTTACAGTCCCTTGGGCACAGGCCTTCATGGCACGAGTAGCACTGCTGATATAGCCAATTCACCAGCATCACAAGTTGCCTCAGAACACAGTTAAGTTTTTGGGGAAGCACCATGATCAGCAATGGTAAAACTCTGTCAGCAGGGGTGACAGACAGGAACAGCAGAAACAGTACAAGCAACTCAATAAAGCATGTGCACATGCAGAAACCTAAGTGTACTAGTCCTCAAAAAAGAGCATCCAGCATCACGGGGCAGGCACAGGACAGCCCCACTGCAGAGCACAGGCCTAAGGCCACCTCCTGTCCCAGGTCTGCAGCTCTCCAGAGAGGTCTATTAGTCTGCCCTCACTTCTGCCCTGCAGCAGCACCTCAGTGAGAGAGAGAGAGTAGCAGCTGACTAGACAATCATGAAGCTGCCTTTTCAATGGCAGCCTCCAGGTGCACAGCCTTAGACTAAAACCTCCCAAGGCTTTAATTCTTTGAGAAAACTTACTGTTCTTTGCTGTACATTCCATATAGGCAACAGAAGAACAAAAGGCATTTTAGAAAGAAGTTATTTGTTCTTACTCATGTAAGAGCCAATACATTTACCTTCTAAAATGTGCTACTAATATAGTATAAATACAGATCAAATACCATTAAGGTGACTGCCTTGTGAAGAAAAGGCAGAGATTAAAAAACAGACCTAGCCACTGAGAGTCTTCACTTGGTGCACTACTGGCTTTCAGGAGATCTGCGCTGCATCTGTTCTTGTCTTCTGTAAGCTCTCATAATACTATATATGCCACTGCCCAAGAACACCAGTGAGATGGCCGCAAAGTAAGAGGCATAAATCATGAACTGCAGAGAAGGGGAAAGAAAACAAAAAAAAAAGTGGTTAAACCAAGCAGTTACCAAATTTGTAAGAAGGTTAATACATGAGCTCCCCTCCTCTTCTAAAATATCAGGAATCAGTGATTACTTCTGTCAGCAAACCCTAGACCCAGAAACAGGTAGCTGAGAAGCTTTACATCTTGGTTTACTTTCCTCCCTCCCATTAGTAAAGCAAGGAAAGTCTGTCATACCTGGGTGAAGATGTCCAACCCAAGCCCACTGGCATCCACAACAATCAAAGTGAGCAAAGTTTGAAGTGCTAAGGCAATGAAAGTATTGACCCCGAACACCAGGGCATACCGCTCCACACTGAGATTTGTAGCGATCTGGAACCTGGAAAGGGATGACCAGAAATATAAGGACAGGCAAAAAGCAGGGAAGTACAAGAATAGAGGGAACATGTCTGGACAAGACAGCTATGCAGCCTGAAGCATTACACAGACTGGTCCAGTATTTTCCACAGCTAACCTCACACTGACAGTGTACTTCTCTAGATAGGATCATGAAGGTCTTTTCCAACCTTAATGATCCTGTGATTCTATGACAGACTAGCATAGAGGCTAGAAGAAGCCCACACAGACATCTAAACAGCTAAAACACCCTTTGGGACCTCTGTGAGTTTCATTCTTACTTGAAGCAGTGCTCCTGTCCGATGCAGCTAAAGCACCTTGTCACCCAGAGAAGATGCAACGTGCTCTGATCCCAGAGAGCTGTGGGCAATCTCAAAGCATCAGCCTACTTGCAGTGTGGTCCATAGCCTCCCACATCCTTCTGACCAAAACTCCTTTTGCAGTTACCAGCCTCATGATCTCCTCTCATACTGTGCTTGAGCTATCTTGTAGCAATTATGTATGTGTGGTTCAACAACAGCTGTGTTTTCCTCCCCAAAGTGACAAATAATATTGAAGAACTTTTCCTTCTTACAGGCTAGGGAAAGTTGACCCTACAACACAGGCAAAGGATTGTCCTCTCCTCATCTGCAAATACTTCACTCCAGTCATGTTTATGAAAAACATTCCCCTGGCAAGCAGGGCTATCTAATATTTAGAAATAGTCACTTTAGTGTCATAAGACTTTTAAGCTTGGGCAGGCTGCCAGACAAATATATTTCTGTGTCTCAGTTTCCAACCTGAATCACAATAGAAGCCCTTGCAACTTGATTTCCAGATTCCTGGTAGGCAAGGCTCAAGTTACATGGGAAATATGCCAGCTTTCACAGCAGCTGTAACCTTGAGAGGAATTGACGTAAAAAGATACTCACGTTGCTATCGTTATTAGCAGCATGTAGATAATTCTGAAGACAACATATGATGCATAGCACACCCAGATATTACGAACCGTGTCCATGATGTACACAGCAGCAGCAATAAGAAAGGAGAACAAGGCAAGTGCCACTTCACCCCACATTGCCCAGGATGTTTTTATGTGACCCACAACAAACACTGCAACAGCTCCTGTGAGGGGAAGGAAAGCATAACTGTTAGTAATTGCAATTGGAGAACTTTGGAGACTGTGTATCAGGAGCTGTGCAGCCCCTAATAGCCAAACATGATTGAAGTGGAGGACACTAATGTGCACACCCCTTAGCAGCTCTCCTTCCTGACCTGTCTCTCACCTGGAAACCGGCTGTAAACTCCTATTCACTTTTACAGGAACAAAAAACCCCAAAAACATAAAACCAAACAAACACAAAAACAAGCCCCCAAAATCCAAAGAGGTCAATGCTGACTGCCTCTGAAGTCTTCTCTCTGGCTTCAGAAGCACAACAGCTCCAGGACTCAGACCACTGCCACTCAGCCCTCTGTGCCTGACTGTAGCAGTGTTATCAATTGGGCTACAGAGAAATGCAAACCACGGTTCTCAAAAGCACTCAGCTAATTATTTTGTGGTGCTTTAGCAGGGGATACAAGAAAGACACTACCCACTTTGATACACAGCTGCTAGAGCTCTCTCCCAGGAGGCAGAAAATCCTACATTTACTGTCTTCATGCTGGGCTGTAAGAATAAGAGCAGGGGTCCAAATCCATGTCTCCGGGGATGCAGCCTAATCACAAGCTACAGTTACACACTGTTGATTGTGCAAGACCAATCCCTTGCAACCAGAACAGGTTTGTAACTCCTGCTGGATTTTATGAAGAGGGGATGGGGAGAGAAGACAGATCACAACATGGAAAGCATGTGATATGTCATGCAACTCAATGAGCAGACAAGGTGTGTTTCATGCTCTATCACAGCTGTAACTACCGAGAAGCCCAAATAAATTTCCATTTGAAATAGGCCTTGTTCTGCAAAGAAGACAAATAGCAACCAACAGCATAACGACACTGCTGTACATAGCAAACTAGATAAACAGCGTACTGACAAAGGGAGGTTTACTGGAGATATCTGAAAAACAGGATTGTATTCAGCATTTGACCACTGTACAGAAGTGCTACAGTGCAGTATCTAAGCTCTTTGTAGCCCTTCACTGGCCTGCTATCTTAGAAGTCCTTCAAGCACATGAAGGCTCCTTATATACCATCAGTGAGTACGAGCCTGAAACCCTGTCAGACCTCACATCAGTCTTGAGGACTAGTGAAAAAGGTAGCTATGCCAAGGGAAAGGAATTTATTTTCCCCCTCTGAACTCTTCTTTCCAGTGCCTGCTATGACACTACCTGAATGACATTTTGCTCTCTGAATGTCTGGCTCCCCCAGTAGCAAAACCTTGACATGTAAAAAGCAGCTAAGTCCTAGAGCCTTCTTTCTACTGTCACAGCAGTTATGAAATTTGGGAACAGACATTCAACATCTCACTCTCTGGGGGTCTTGTGGCCACTCACAGAGTCATACTCCCCCCATGTCTCAAGGTTGTATCAGCCAGACACCTAATTATGAAGACATATACAATCTGTGTCCTGCAATTAGATACCTACAGCTGGTTCAGTGGTTTCACATCCCAACCACATTTTGGATTGCCACATTTCCAAGAAGATGCAGAGATGCAGCTAAGCAGTCGGTTGACTTCACTAGAAATAATGCTATTTATCTTGCCTGGGACAGGAAGCTGACAGCCACATGAGTCACCACGCTCGACTCAAACCCTTCTGCAGGGCAGCACGGGTACAGACAGGGATGGCAGCGGCACCTGACATGAAGGTTGCCAAACGTTGCTCATAACTGAGCACAGAATGAGTAAGAGCCATGAAAAATAGCAAATCAGATCCAGGATGTACCAGGAAAGGTTATTTCTAGTAAAAGAAGAAAAGTGTATTAATGTTCTTCTACAAGTCTGAGGCCTCACTGAATAAAGCTCAGTGCAGCTCTGGTCTTCAAAAAGAATGCAACTCAAGGCTTGGTGCAAAGGGCAGCTAGTAAGATAACAAAGTGAACAAAGAGGTTTGCTGTGGGAAAATAACAGAAGATTGGCAAGGAGGATTGTAAACACGCTCAAGTGACTTGCAGCTTGAGGTGTTAAAAAACATATATCATACTCACTGCTGTTTGGTATTGTGTGTTGGACAAGTAGAACATCTGTGTTTAAATAGCATAGGCCTGTGATAGACTTAGAGGCACCCTACTGAACGTACTTGAGATTCCTGCCCTGCTGTGGGGAAGATCAAAGTGCAGTGGTAAATTACACCTGCATGAATCCCTGAAATACAGGCGAAAACAGCAAGTTCGTTGATCCACTAGCAAGGACCGAGCTCTGCAAGTGCCTGTGTTCCTGCTTGTGTGCCTGTGCCTGGGGGCTGCTTCGGGGATCCCCCAGTTTGTGAGGTAACAAAAATAAATCTACTCTTTGCATTTCATCCATGGTTTTGTGGTTGTTCCTGCATTCTGCCTGTGTTGGCTCACACACTTTACCAAAGAACAACTAGAAAAGCTTGGTTTCTTTGGTCCAGAACAAACAACAGGTATCTAGAGATAGGCTAGGATGAGATAATTTTGTGCTAAAATACAACCTTGGCGTGAAGTCAGAGATATATAAACTGCTCATTAATAAATTCAAACTGGAAATCAGAAGTCAAAGCATTTGCACTAGTGCCTAGGAAGTCACTAGGTACTTCCTAGTGCAAATGGAAGTGCACTGGATGCTCATCCTTAACAGGTCCCTTCCAGTCTTGTTATGCAGTTCAAGCTTTTAGTTGAGATTACTACTTCACTAAGTTTCACTTGTTCCAAGCAATGGATCTGTGTCAACCAGAAGGACTTTTTGTTCAGGGACAGCAGCTAATTTACTTTCGGAAAACATCATCCAAAATCATTCAAGCATTTATAAAAATGATACTAGATGGGGGAAAAAAAAAAAACATCGAAGAGGGAAACGAAAAACTTCAGTTTTGCATGAGTTTAGCGCCAACTACCTTTTCTTCCAATAGGTCCATTGTTCACAGGCCTTTAAAAAAAGGACCTTGATATCAAAGATGTTCATAATAGGTTTGAAAAAAATTTTTTTTTTTAAATCTGCCCACATTTGGGCACGCTATGGATCGTCTTTCCCTTGATACCAGTTCTTTCTTTCTTGGGACCAAGGCAGGATGGTAAAGGAAGCCAAATCAAACAAGAAATAAGAGCCACAGCATCACAGTAGAGTAGAGCAGCAGTATATGACTGCATGCTATTAAAATGCAGGTTTAGCACACCAAAGACTACTTAATAGCCAAAGTCTTCAGAATCAAGTTGCCAACAGTTTCAAACCCAACAAACACTGGATGGTAGACCAGCTTTTAGAACTATAAAACAGTCACCACTTCCCACTGAACGCCAAGAGGGTGCTAAGCATGCCCAAGAAAGTACTAAACCTTCCTTGTTTGTGTACCTTGGTTTCTTTTGCTCCCAAGTAGGTGATGTCCACAGCAGATGGTGGAACAATGGCTCCATCAAAGAAAAGGAATGTACTGCAGCAACACCTAGAGAGCCTCTGCAAGTGTATGTCAGCTATATTAAAAAGGTTTTATTCTAGTTCTGGTGATGGAACAGTATTAAACAACTTAATAAACAGATGTTTGTGTTGACTGACCTACCTGGCCCTTTCAAGTCAAGCAACTTCTTTCATCTTAATAGCTTTTCTGCTTAACAGTGCAGAAGTGACTACATGGTGGCTCACTGCATGCATACAGGAAACCTTCATATGTTCCCTATATTAAAAAGGTTTTATTCTAGTTCTGGTGATGGAACAGTATTAAACAACTTAATAAACAGATGTTTGTGTTGACTGACCTACCTGGCCCTTTCAAGTCAAGCAACTTCTTTCATCTTAATAGCTTTTCTGCTTAACAGTGCAGAAGTGACTACATGGTGGCTCACTGCATGCATACAGGAAACCTTCATATGTTCCCTACACTGCCAGAGGAAAAAAAAAAAAGCAATAAACCCATATGACTCTTAGTTTGACTTTAACTTAAAACAAGCTTAACCCCACTGCTACAGTGACAGCCAAGAACACACAGTCAGCCTAGAGGCTTCTGCCAAATATCTCGGAATGAAGATTGACTTGGGAGACTCCTTTAAACACCTACACACTGATTACAGGAATCAGGGCTGCATACACCAACAAACTCAACACTGAGTACCGTACCTGTGCACGTCACTGAAGACTCACCCTGAATGCTGAGGTTGCCTCTCCTGCATGCACAGGGGAACACAAGGCACTTACCAACCATGCTCTGGTGACCTTGAGGGACACAAGGCATTTCTCACAGCAGAGCAGGAGCTACGTCAGCAGCTTACCTAGCAGCGTTGAGGCCGCTTCCACAGCGCCATTGTAGATCTCTGTGCTGTGAGAAGGCAGCACCATCTCCCACAGGCCCTGAGCGTAGTTGATGACCTGGAAGTAGCCGCAGGTGGACAGTGCCCACCACACCGACCAGCAGAGCATGGTCTGGGAGGAGTAGCACTGCAGGAAGTCCTGCCAGAGATCTTTGAGCACCTTTACAATGTCTACTTTCTGCTCCTGCATAGATTGGAGAAGGAAAAGGAGAGAAATGTTATTCCATGTTTATAAATACTTCACACTGCTCCACAAAATTGTCCCTTTCCAGTGGTCTTATCACTGGTGACTGACAATACCACTCTTGGACAGAAACCCCACAGAGTAACAAATAAAAAGCTTTCCCATGCCACAGTCCCAGCAGTTGGTCTCTGTTCCCTTACATGCAGAGGAAGGGTTCAGTCCCAAGCACCCCTCACGCTCTGGTTCTTTCACACAGAGAGCAGAAACTATTAGCTGTTGGAAGTACTACGTGAGCAAGTGAAGGGTACCAGAGAGAAGAGACACAGGAGAATGTGACACAATATCCACTTTGACAAGACAGCATGAGAAGCCAGTCATTCAAATCATGAAGGCAAAAGCATCACTGACACTTTTCATAAGTCCTGATCCAAATTAAATCAAATTTAGTAGCGCAGAGATTGTGAAACCCACTGGATGCATATTTTTTCCCCCACAAAGAAGTCAATTTTCTTTGGTAGTAGGATTCAGGGATTATAAATACTCAAAGAAGCGATCTCATTATGCTGCACTCTACCCCTGTTAATGTTCACCAAGGCTCTGAAGGTGACAGATGTTGCCTGAGGATCTGAAGAGAAATGGAAGCTGCTTTCACCAGACATTACTATCGCAAACAGCAGCTCCTGCATATACAAGCGCTCTGACAAATGTAATGAGATAGATAAAAATAAAGCTTTCCCCTCCAAATCTTTCTAGAAAGAGCACAAAAGGGACAGACCCATGAAGTTATTTGAAAAAACTTTGAAGATAGCTCAGATCCAGCAACAGGGGATGACGACAAATGAAAACTGCCTTTTATATACAGGCTGCTACAGTCCTGCTCCTGACTACTTTATGCCAACAGCAGCAGAAAAAAATGAACTTATCTTTACTTTGTAGACAGAGCTGCTAATTATGTTTGCTACACATACACACACAGAGTCTTTGTAGACAGGCAAGACCCTTCTCATGTAAGTCAGAGCAGTGACTACTTCATATGAGACTGGGACGATCCCCAGGGCCCACCCACCATCTCTAGCCACCTTGAGCTTGGAATCCCCGCTGCGAAACAGAGCCCTGTGACAGGACTGAGCTATTGCACATTGTGCTATTGTACATCCAGTTGCGGAGCAGCTTCCAGTCAGCAACAGCAACTTCAGGCTCTTGGCAGCATGCCCTTTCCATGGGGAATTGTGCAGTATGTGCCTGCGAAAGACTATTCTCCATAAGCAATAAAACACATTTTAAGATCTTTCTATTAAAACCCCCAAAGACGATAGCCTAACTGCATTCTGAACTCCTTTTTTTCCACTCCTTGAAGCATCGCTGATTTCTGAGCATCTTCATTAAACACCACACAGTCCTGTTGATGCTTTGCCAATGGCAAAACGCTTGCTCCGCACATGGACACTGTCCCTCCAAAGCCCAACAGAACAACTTGGGAAGAGGTCAGCCCGCAGCAACGCGACTTCAGCAACTTAACTCCCACACAGAAGGTTTCACACAAAGCTCAAGTTTTGGTGCAGGAAAAACAGGGAAGGGAACCATCACATACACTGCAAAAACTGATTTGGCACATTCAACCCAAGCATATGCCTGATAAGACAGAAAAGTCCACCCGCCCTCCCACCGCCTGGAAATCCTGCTTCAGTACAATTGCTCGTACAGCCACTCATTCATGTTCGTGAAATACAGTTGCCATTACTTTCGTGAGGACTATCATCACACAGCAATGCTTCTCAGCTTTTAGCACCTGGTGTAACTGAACCCTGGAGAGTTACGCAAGTGTACTTGCTCCCTTTTTAAAATTTTCACCATTAGTTTGGAACCACCCTTGCTCTCACAGGATGGGAGTAAGATAAACAGAAGGAACAGATAAGTGATATTCATGCTTTAGTCATTATTGGCATGAATTTGTCTTAACAAATACCCTTCAGCATGCAAGTACATCATAGTTAAAAATACTTTTGCTCACACAAGACTGTGCTGGATGGGGCAGGATTAGGTCCCTGGAATGTTAATACCTTTAATTCCCAGCTGTAGCCAAAGAAGGCTGAAAGCAGCCCCGGATGCTGCCTCCCCCAGCCCAACTAACTGGGGTTTACTTGCTAAATGAAATACCCATGAGTTGACTAAAGCAACAGCTGCACTTGCCTCCCAGCTTCTTCTCAGAACGAGCACAACCTCCTCCTGACCGAGGAGCAAGGCCGACCTCTCCCCAGGCCCTCGAACCCCCCTGCCGCAACAGGCTCTCCATACATCTGCATTACCTGCAGCAGCATGGCAGAGACCTGCCCAGCAAGCAGCCACACACACGCATCAGGCCTCAAATTGGAGGCCGCCCACTCGTCACCTCATGGGACCCGACACATCCCACCACCGAACAAGGGCGCCTGCACGCTTGTTTCCACACAAGTGACTTTGTTAGAGGTTACGTAGCCTGCAAAAGCCGCAAGTCGGGGCACTACCTTGGTGCTCTCATGGACTGCGTTAAGCCATCATTATGCAGAGCTCTTTCCTGCAATTTATCTGTGTTCTGTCCATTTATAACTAATCAATGTCAGCCTGTAAGTGCTCTCAAGGACTACTGCAGTCTCCCTCCCGGACCAGCTTCCTTCCAGGATCATAAGACAAAACTCAATTACTACACAGCTTATTACTGCACAACTTGCGCAACAGTTGAAGTAACGAGTGTTTCCAGAATGTAAGTGCAGGAATAATTGCCTCCTTTCTCTAAGTTGTAGGGTGCATCCGGAAGCACACACAGAATTTGGATATACACACAATTTTTAGTGCCCCACAGATGTCCCGTGCTTTGTTGAGCAGCAATTTGATGCCCAGAGAATTTTAATCACAGCCCCGTGAGACATGCAGAACAATTTCAGAAAAACAAAGGAGCAGCCTAACAGGCTGCAAAAGGAAGCCAGGAATACATTTTCCTGAAGCAGGATAAGCAAAGGAATACTTCTTGCTGTTGGATATTACTTCTCTACTGCTGTGTGTGTGTATATATACATATGCAGATAGGCATGCATACATACATGCATGCGCGACAACCACATCAGTACTGCATATTCTACTTACATAAACCCAGGGCACAACTCACCTGTTTCTCTGCTGAATGACCCTCCCCATTTAAGGGAACTTTTGTCTCATCCTCCCAGCCACCTGCCCTCTGCACACTGGGATGATCTTGGACAGCCGATCCGTTTTTACAATCCATGACCTTCATTTCCCAGCTGAGCGGCTGACCTGAGACGTGATGAAAAAAAAGGCTTTTCTGTGGCATGGGCAGGAACCACGCTGTGCCAAAGGCAATGGAGACGCTGGTTAAGGAGATAACGTTCAAGCTGAAGAGGGACCATCCTGCCACCGACACAAGGACCTGCCCGGACACCGAGCCCACTGTGTAGCCCACCAGGGTGGCACTCCGGCAGTAGCTGGTGACCTTCTGGTACAGGTTGACATCGACGACACTGTAGATGTAAGAGTAATAGGCAACGTCGGTGGCCGTCCCTATCCCGTAGAAGAACTCGAGGAACTGGATGGCCCGCAGCCCCTGGGCGTACAGCAGCATGAACCAGGTGACGATGAGGCTCAGGCCCTGCAGCAGGACCACGGGCTTGTACCGCAGGTAGTCCGTGGCCAGGAACACCGGGAATAGCAGTGCCAGGTAGGAGTAAGTCCACACCGGGTAAATCTCGTTGAACACCTGGAGGGGGAAGAGGACAGTGGTAACCTCCAGCACCCACGTACTGTGAGCAAAACACAACACGCCCAGGTAGGGGTGCGAGGTGCCCAGGGCCGCGGTACCTGGGTCTCGGAGAGGTTTTTGTGCGGCCCCAGCAGGTAACGGGTGAGGAAGGGCTCCGAGGGCCGCACGCTGCAG